CTTTCCAAGAGGTGTAGACTTTAAATCTGCTTGAAAATATGAGACACGGTTTGAATATTGCTGTACATCAATGATTCCCAATCATATTTACTGAGTTTAAGCAATTTTGACAAAAACAACGGTAATGCAGCTAACTGCCAAAATAATGGAAACACCAACATAAAGTGTCTTAATAGGGCGTTGGGCCACCAAAAGCTGCCAGAACAGCTTCAATGTGCCTTGACCTCTATTGGAGGAATGCGACACCATTCTTCCATGAGAAATTCCATCATTTGGTGTTTTGTTGATGGTGATGGGAAAATGCTGTCTCAAGCTCCACTCCAGAATCTCCCATAAGTGTTCAATTGGGTTAAGATCTGGTGACTGAGACGGCCATGGCATATGGTTTACATCGTTTTCATGCTCATCAAAACATTCAGTGACCGCTCGTGCCCTGTGGATGGGGGCATTGTCATCCACTCCCATCAGGATAGAAATGATTCACCATAGCTTGAAGGTGATCACTTAAAATGGCTGTTTACCTTGCCCTCTAAGGGGTTGAGTGGACCTAAACCATGCCAGGAAAATGCAGAACCCTCTTGCTTCTCCTTCATTCTGGAAGAAAAAAACACCTCCACTGGTGTGAATACTTTCTGAAGGCACTGTATGTTGCCCTAAGCATTGTGCAGAGTTGATAGAATCTTATCAAAACTGATTTACAGCTGTAATCGCTACCAAAGGTACTTCCACCAAGTATTAACTCTGGGGTGTGAAGACATACACAATCAAGACAATGTTCTATACTTTTTCTTTCACTTGTGGAGCAGGTTGTGTAGATCTGTAGGAACAAAATCTAATGTAATACCTTTTTAGATGGATTTTTAAGGCAGCAAAATGTGACAACTACGCAAGGGGTGTGTAGACTTAAACTAAACACGGTACACATCTCGAGTGTAGTCTTCTATTCCTGCTGTTGATTATAGCTTTATATGCCATTACTAACGGTGGTGTGTGTGTTTTTGTGTGCGTGTGCCTGTTTGCATGTACGTGTGTGTGTGTGTGTGCCCTGCTTACAGTGAGTCAACACTCTGGGATCCTCTCCAATCTAGGAACCAACATTTCCTCTCCCAACTCCGAGCCAGACAATCATGGACTTTTAAACGAGAAGGAGGACTCGTACTTCTCGGAAATCCGCAACTTCATTTCCAAAAGCGAGATGAACCAGGCGTCCAGCTCCACAGACAAGAGGTAGGGGGAACGCACGCGCACCACAAGACTGTGTTAGCCGGTGGAGCTAAAGCCAAGGTATTAGCTCGGGGCGTCTTCAAAGTTACTCATCATTACATGAACGTTGTTCACCGAATCACTTCCGTTTACATACCTTACTACACACATAAACACCCAAATACATTTAATTCACAGACATTGATAGGTTTTTATGTCCATTTGGATTGGCTTCTCGGGAGTAGACTATAGAGTTATTATGGCGTCACTCTCCCAGCCCTCCTGACAAAACTAACTCTGCTCCCCTGTCAGATGTTGCTCAAACAGGCTTTAGGGGGAGTCCAGTCCAGTACAGTAGAGTAGAGTAAACACAGCATCACCCCGTAGTGCCCCCTCCTCTACTCTGCCTGTTCTCAATGACTCATTTCACCTCAACTGAAAGAAACCTCTCAGGCTGTTCCACTCTAACCAGGGCCAGGTTTACCGGAGCTTCTGGCCTTCTCTCCTCTCCGGACTAAACCATCACCAGCCTATAGTCTATGGCACTGCAGTTTCAGGTAGCGCTAGAGGCTAGTGCTTAGCAGGGTCATGTTCATTAATGAACACTACAGCAAACATTTTGCACCCGAAAATGAAAACTAGTGTTTCTTATTGGACGCGTTTCTTATAGTCCCTCCCTGTTTCAGTCCGTTTTCATCCGTTTGGTACCTAATAAATACGACCCAGGTTCCAAGACAGTAGTGGGCGATGTCGGGGATGTCTACTAGCTCTGACAGATATGTCGGGGGAAATATGCAAGCCGTCTTCTCCAATAAGCCCCAGGCAAACAAGTTGGATTCTTTTGATGTCACGTAGTGGTTCCTCCTTGATTTCGCTCTGCCGTCTTCATGCCAGTAACAGAGGGCTGCTTGTTTTTCTATTTTTCTCACTCTTTCTCCCACTCTCTCTCTGTCTTTCTCCCTCTCTCTCTGTCTTTCTCCCTATCTCTCTCTGTCTTTCTCCCTCTCTCTCTCTGTCTTTCTCCCTATCTCTCTCTGTCTTTCTCCCTCCCTCTCTCTCTCTCTGTCTTTCTCCCTCTCTCTCTCTGTCTTTCTCCCTCTCTCTCTGTCTTTCTCCTTCTCTCTCTCTGTCTTTCTCCCTATCTCTCTCTGTCTTTCTCCCTCTCTCTCTCTCTCTCTGTCTTTCTCCCTCTCTCTCTCTGTCTTTCTCCCTCTCCTGTCTTTCTCCCTCTCTCACTGTCTTTTCTCCCTCTCTTCTCTGTCTTTCTTCCCTTCTCTCTGTCTTTCTCCCCTCTCTCTCTGTCTTTCTCCCTAATCTCTCTGTCTTTCCTCCCTCTCTCCTCTCTGTCTTTCTCCTCTCTCTCTCTGTCTTTCTCCCTATCTCTCTGTCTTTCTCCCTCTCTCACTGTCTCTCCCCCTCTCTTTCTGTCTTTCTCCCTATCTCTCTGTCTTTCTCCCTCTCTCTCTGCCTTTCTCCCTATTTCATTGTCTTTCTCCCTCTCTCTCTGTCTTTCTCCCTCTCTCTCTCTGTCTTTCTCCCTATCTCACTGTACTTTCTCCCTATCTCACTGTCTTTTCTCCTCTTCTCCTGTCTTTCTCCCTTCTCTCTCTCCTTCTCTTTTTCTTTTTCCCTCTTTCATGTCTTTCTCCCTCTCTCTCTCTGTCTTTCTCCCTATCTCTCTGTCTTTCTCCCTATCTCACTGTCTTTCTCCCTATCTCACTGTCTTTCTCCCTCTCTCTCTGTCTTTCTCCCTCTCTCTCTGTCTTTCTCCCTCTCTCTCTGTCTTTCTCCCTCTCTCTCATGTCTTTCTCCTTCTCTCTCTTTCTTTCTTTTCTCCCCCCTTTTTCCCCTCTCTCCTGTTTTTCTCCCTCTCTCTCTTTTCTTTCTCCCTTCTCCGTCTTCTTTTCTCCCTTTCCTTTCCCCTTCTTTTTTTTCCCCTTCCTCCTTTTCTTTCCCCCCCCTTTTCTTTTTTTCTCCCCTCTCTCTCTTTCTTTCCCCTATCTCTCTTTTTTTCTCCCCCCCCCTTTCTTTCTTCCCCTCCCTCTCTCTTCTTTTTTTTTTTCCCCCTCTCCTTCTTCTTTCTTTTTTTCCTTTTTTCTCCCTCCTCCGGGCCCCTTTCCCCCCTTTTTTCCTTTTTTTCCCTCTCTCCGTTTTTCTTTTTCCTTTTCCTTTTTCTTTTTCTCCCCTTTTTCCTTTTTTGTCTTTTTCCCCCTTCTTCCCTTTTTCCCCCTTTCCTTTCTTTCTTTCCCCCCTTTTCTCACTGTCTTTCCTTCTTTCTTCGTTCTCCTCTCTCCCGTTTCCCTTTTTTCTTTTCTTCTCCCTCTCTCTTCTGTCTTTCTCCCTATCTCCTGTCTTTCCCCCCTATCTCACTGCCCTTTTTCCCTCCCTACCCTCACTGTCTTTCTCCCTTCCCCTTCTTCCCTTTCTCCCCTTTCCTCTCTTTTCCCCTTTCTCCCTTCCTTTTCTTCTTCTCCCTTTTTTCTTCTTTCCCCCTTCTCTCTGTCTTTTTCCCCTATCTCCCTGTCTTTCCCCCCTTTCTCCCTTTTTTCCCCTCCTTTCTTTTCTCTCTCTCTGTCTTTCACCCTCTCTCTCTCTGTCTTTCTCCCTATCTCACTGTCTTTCTCCCTCTCTCACTGTCTTTTTCTTTCTCTGTCTTTTCTCACTCTCTCTGTCTTTCTATCTCTTTCAATCTCTGTCTCTCTTTCTTTCATGTCTCCCTCCCTCCCTCCTCCCTGGTCAGTAGACAAGAGCCAAAAGAGCTCAAGGGTAATTTATCCCCTCTGCCATCTGGGATCAATAGTGCAGACCCATTCAGAATATACATCCCTGGCATTTTAGTATCTGTCATTCTAAATAAGTGCTCTGCTTTCTGTCCGTCCCAGACACACACACACTCACATGCAGGCACGTAGACACTCGCATGCACACACATGCATGTACGCACACACACATCACACACACTTCCCCGCATTGAACACAGGCACACAGCTGTGTGTATGCCTAGCTGTGCACTCATGTGTCTCTTCTCCACAAAGTGTTTGTAAACCATGTCAAGTTGGTCTAGTCACTTGTCTCGCTCTAGTGTGTTTCTCTCCTCTGGACACTGTCTAGCCTGTGAGGTAGGGCGTCGATCGAGATAGCTGGAGCTGTGTGTATGGGGCACAAAACACTGTGGATGTGTGTGGGAGGGAGGGAGGGGCCTGGGACAGTGGAAGAGATTGTAAGGGGCAGAGACAGTAGACAAGTGTGTATGGGGGGTGGGTAGAGCTGGACTGGGCATTTCTAAGCTCAAAAGTTGTGGCGTGGTGGCTGAGGCATTTATCTACAAGAATCAACTGATGGAAATATGGCCGCTAACACAAACATACTGCTGATGTGTTTAGACTAAGTGACAAAATGCAGGGCTCTGCGTCAGAGACGCGCTTGTCTCCCTATACCCCCCCTCACACACAGCCACCTCCAATTTGATTATAGTATATTTAATCTAGATTGAAAGAGAACAGCCCCCCCCCACACACACACACACACACACACAAGACCCAATCCCCCCCACACACCCCTCTGTCCCTCTTGCTCCCCGAAGGTACCCCGTCTAGTTTGATAAATGTCAGTCTGCCCGCCGCTCTGTGGCGGCTCGGAGGGCTCCCCATGAGGAAATGACATCATGAGGCATTAAGCTGCGGAATACAGGGGGCTGGAAAATGTGAAGGCGCCAGGTTGAAATGTCTGGTGTGCTGATAGCCTGTTTGCAGAGCAGCCACTGAGGCACGTAGGGCATTGGGCCTAGAAAACTCCTGATGGAGGTGAGGTGGGCTGGGGGAAGGCCCTCCTCCCCCTGTCTCCTCTACCTCATCTCCGATAATCTGGCCAAGACGGACTGGGTGGGAACAGTAAACGGTAAGTCGATATTGGCTGCTTTCAATGGCCAGTTAGCTCTTTCACATCAGTGCAGATGAAGGAAAGGAAGCAAGGAGAGAATACGGCATTAAATTATTTGGATGCAATGATGTTGTTCCACCGATTAAACCCAATGAGGGTTTCATATAAACCAAGACATTTTAAGGATAAAATAATGTAGATGTTTTGGGGTATAAATGAATGGAACACATTTTTGGAAATTATGAATAAAGAGCAAAATCAATACAATATATAATGTTGCAGGTCAGAGCTTGCGGAGGAGGAGCGTCCATCGAGCCACGGCCTGTCCAACTCCAAGATGGCGGCCCGGGGTGCTAGAGGAGGAGGAGGCGGAGGGAGAAGATGAAGAGGAGGAAGAAGGCAGCCTGACGGAGAAGTCTCAGGACGAAGCGCCCGAATCCCCCTCCCCGATCACCATGGTCACGCCGGGGGCGTACGAAGACGAAGAGGAGGAGGCGGAGGAAGAGGAGGAAGCCACACCGTTGGCTATGAGCTACGAACACACCCGCAGGTATGTCCTGTCTGGTAGAATACACGCATATTTACAGACACAACGACAGACTGATGTCCTGTCTAATAGACCACAGACCACACAACTACAGGTATGTCTTGTCTGTTACAGACTTCTGACCAAGTTACAGACACAACTACAGACACACCGGCAGGTATGTCATGTCTGGTAGAATACAGACCTACTGTAGGTACAGACACAACTACAGACAAAGTCATGCAGTCACGTACAGCACACCACACCTTCACAAACAAACCCACCCAATCACAACGGCCACCCCTGTCTCCTCCCATTCCAACTAACACGACTTATACAGTTTAATATTGCATGACCTGCCATGCATGATCTGCCCTCCCTATGATGGCAGTACAATGAGTTCAATGAGAGATAGATGGTGATAAAGAGAGTTGGGACGCAGATAGAACTCTGTCCCATTCCATCGCCATCTGTCTGTCTGTCCCTATCAGTGTCGGTCAGTGTTGTACCGGTCTTGGTGTCGAGACCACATATTGAGTGTCTCGGTCGTGTCTTGGTGTCAGTCAGTATTTTTACTCGGTCTTGACTCGGTCTCGGACAGCCCAGACCAGCAGAGTAAAAAATTCATAATTATCAGCTTCCATTCAGTCAGTGCATAAAACCGCATCGCCAGGGCAAATACCTACACTCCTTTCTTAAAACATGAATATCTTATCGCCTATTGAAACCTGGGATTCCTACTTTACTCGTAACATTACTGTATTTGTATTTATTATGGGTCCCCGTTAGCTGCTGCCAAAGCTACTCTTCTTGGGGTCCAGCGAAATTAAGGCACTTATACCATTTTAAAAACATTACAATACATTCACAGATTTCACAACACACTGTGTGCCCTCAAAAAATGGTGGGAAAAATTGTTGGAAAGTTGCGCGCTCACTATTAGTAAGGGGAGATGGGGAAATTGTAACAGTCTTTATATCTATTATAGACATGTTTGTGCGGTGTCAAGCCTATTGAGCCTTCAGTGTGTGACAGGCTCTTGATGCTGGAAGGACAGCAAACGTAATACCAGCACACTCATGTAAGTCAGGGAGTGCACTTTTTGTAAAACACAAAGGGCCAGTGGTGTATTGCAGGTATACCCACTTTTTTTTTCGGGGGGGGCATTCCCTGTACTCACTTTTTAATCCCTACTGTTGCGTGTCAAAGTAGTGTAGTGGTGGTATACGACTTCATTATGTAGGATGTAGTTATTATTATGATGTAGTACTGTAGTGGAGGTATACGACTTAATTATGTATTATGTTGTTATTATTATTATGTAGTACAATAGAGAAATTATGCACAAAGTAGCCTACACAATCGCAAAGCACGTGAAATATATTCACATGCGCACAGCACACATAGCCTAGTTTCAGCGGAATATCATCTGCAGGCAGGAAGAGCGCAGCTCTCAAAAGGTTGTAGCATGGAGCAGCACACAGAAGAATGACATCAGTAGCTGGTAGTTAGGAAAGATGTTTCAACTTATATCTACCAGTAAATGCTAGCTAAGGCAACAATGGGTATGCAAACCAGGTATTGAAAAAGGTTGGTCCATCGTCTTGCTTAGTAGGCTATTTGTGATGGGCATTTCAGTCATCATGCACTGTTTGCATGAACATTTCTAAAGGCTTTCCCAAAAAACCTTCCAATTAAATGTTGACCGTAATGTAGGCCTACCTGACAGAAAGATATGATGCTGATTTGTATCAATGGGGAGGGCATTTGTTTTGCTCAATTGAATTAAAGGGCAACTACACCCTCCAAAAACATATTTTTTTGATTTTTCCCAGACCTCAAAAATTGTTTAACGATTATTGTGGTTTTAGAACATCACTTTTTGTGTGTGTGTGATTTTGAGAGTGAAAATCTGTAAAATCTGTAGGAAAACATAGGATGCACGCATCCTTTCCTTCACACAGGACAAACTTCTCCAGGCACCACTACACCACTGCATAGGGCAGATGGAAAGACAGCAGTCACACACAGCATGATGTTAAAGGATAAAAAATATATATATACAGTGGGGAAAAAAAGTATTTAGTCAGCCACCAATTGTGCAAGTTCTCCCACTTAAAAAGATGAGAGAGGCCTGTAATTCTCATCATAGGTACACGTCAACTATGACAGACAAATTGAGAAAAAAATAATCCAGAAAATCACATTGTAGGATTTTTTATGAATTTATTTGCAAATTATGGTGGAAAATAAGTATTTGGTCACCTACAAACAAGCAAGATTTCTGGCTCTCACAGACCTGTAACTTGTTCTTTAAGAGGCTCCACTTGTTACCTGTATTAATGGCACCTGTTTGAACTTGTTATCAGTATAAAAGACACCTGTCCACAACCTCAAACAGTCACACTCCAAACTCCACTATGGCCAAGACCAAAGAGCTGTCAAAGGACACCAGAAACAAAATTGTAGACCTCCACCAGGCTGGGAAGACTGAATCTGCAATAGGTAAGCAGCTTGGTTTGAAGAAATCAACTGTGGGAGCAATTATTAGGAAGACATACAAGACCACTGATAATCTCCCTCGATCTGGGGCTCCACGCAAGATCTCACCCCGTGGGGTCAAAATGATCACAAGAACGGTGAGCAAAAATCCCAGAACCACACAGGGGGACCTAGTGAATGACCTGCAGAGAGCTGGGACCAAAGTAACAAAGCCTACCATCAGTAACACACTACGCCGCAAGGGACTCAAATCCTGCAGTGCCAGATGTGTCCCCCTGTTTAAGCCAGTACATGTCCAGGCCCGTCTGAAGTTTGCTAGAGTGCATTTGGATGATCCAGAAGAGGATTGGGAGAATGTCATATGGTCAGATGAAACCAAAATAGAACTCTTTGGTAAAAACTCAACTCGTCGTGTTTGGAGGACAAAGAATGCTGAGTTGCATCCAAAGAACACCATACCTACTGTGAAGCATGGGGGTGTAAACATCATGCTTTGGGGCTGTTTTTCTGCAAAGGGACCAGGACGACTGATCCGTGTAAAGGAAAGATGAATGGGGCCATGTATCGTGAGATTTTGAGTGAAAACCTCCTTCCATCAGCAAGGGCATTGAAGATGAAACGTGGCTGGGTCTTTCAGCATGACAATGATCCCAAACACACCGCCCGGGCAACGAAGGAGTGGCTTCGTAAGAAGCATTTCAAGGTCCTGGAATGGCCTAGCCAGTCTCCAAATCTCAACCCCATAGAAAATCTTTGGAGGGAGTTGAAAGTCCGTGTTGCCCAGCGACAGCCCCAAAACATCACTGCTCTAGAGGAGATCTGCATGGAGGAATGGGCCAAAATACCAGCAACAGTGTGTGAAAACCTTGTGAAGATTTACAGAAAATGTTTGACCTGTGTCATTGCCAACAAAGGGTATATAACAAAGTATTGAGAAACTTTTGTTATTGACCAAATACTTATTTTTCACCATAATTTGCAAATAAATTCATTAAAAATCCTACAATGTGATTTTCTGGATTTTTTTTTCTCATTTTGTCTGTCATAGTTGACGTGTACCTATGATGAAAATTACAGGCCTCTCATCTTTTTAAGTGGGAGAACTTGCACAATTGGTGGCTGACTAAATACTTTTTTTCCCCACTGTATATATATATATATATATATATATATATATATATATATATATATATATATATATATATATATATATATATAAATCAAACCTTTATTTAACTAGGCAAGTCAGTTAAGAACAAATTCTTATTTACAATGACGGCCTACACCGGCCAAACCCGGACAACGCTGGGCCAATTGTGCGCCACCCTATGGGACTCCCAATCACCGCCGGTTGTGATACAGCCTGGAATCAAACCAGGGGGTCTGTAGTGACGCCTCAAGCACTGAGATGCAGTGCCTTAGACCGCTGCGCCACTCGGGAGGATAAGAAAAATATGCCAGTAGGTCCCAAACACAACCATTAGGCTAAGCATTTCCCAATTGAAGTGTACAACTATTACTTCCCATTGCAAAAAACATATTATGTTTAGCACACAAAGTCACCGGTGATCTAAAGTTTAAATGCAACAATGTTTCACACACATAACTTACAACGTAAGTTATTTTCAAAGAGATAGCTAACAACAGCATGCGAGCTGCAATAAGAAACACAGTTCCACTCACCAGATGATGATCATTTGAAAAGGGACAAGCTAACAAATTAGCAACAACATTCTCTTCGATAACACCTGCTGCAGCCGCTGCAAACTAGCCTACAACAAAAGTTAGCTAGCTAGACCATGGGAAAACTACTGCTCACTATTGCGTAGTGACCTGTTGGCCTTCAAGAAAGCAGAAGTTTCCATATGTTTTTGTAAAAACGGTCCCACCCCATTGCAAGTCAATGTGATCAGTTGATTCCACTGTCACTCCAATGTTGCCCTAATACAATGGCAGATGCCTTCTATCAAGCATCTGATGGCCTAGCTAGATTTATTTCCCCAGAGACCACCAAAGAAAAATCCTGATTGGATATTTTTTTATCTTCAGTGTTAACTCTTTACTTCCTAACTAAAACTGAAGCGATTAAATCAGAACATCATTGAAAATAATAATATATTTATTATTATTTGTATTATTTTATAAATCCTTAGCCTTTCTCTGAAAGTGTAGAAGGCCCTCATTGTTCCCCACTGTGTTTGGGTTAGTAATCATTTGTAGAGTGGCTCTATTTGCCTTCAGCATGCATTTTCTCACCATTATGAATGTCTAAAGAATCCATATGTTCTTCTGAAGTATTAACACAGAAATACTGGACATTTTGAACTCTTATTATGGTGGCGATTTGGCAAAATTACAATCGTGGTCTTGAATTGGACTCGCATTTTTCTGGTCTCGGTCTTGACTCTGTCTCATACCCCTCGTCCCCCTCCCGGTCTCGGTCTTGACTTGGTCTTGCCCCTCCCCCTCGAACACAACACTGGTGTCGGTACTTCACCCTCTCTCCCCACACTGAGCATGGTTAGCTCCTTGGTTAAGCCTTTTAGCACCGGCTTTCCCTTTCAATGCACAGAACCGGTCCAGAAAACCATCATTCCCTTTCATTCACAGAGAGGCATGCAGGTTCTCTAGTGGGGTTTCAGTCAAGTTGGTTTTCAGTGGTAGTGGTGTGAACTGTTTTCAGACAACAACTCCATACCATCTATCCCATTCGTCCGTCTCCATCCATCCGTCCGTCTGTCCCCCATGCATGTGCCATCGAAAGTCCATCCATCGAGATACAAGATAGTATTGGTTAGGCTAACTGAGGACAACCCTCCCCCCTCCCTCCCTGCACCTTTCCCTTCCTCCTCCACAACCTCTCCTTCCCCCAACCCTCTCTTTATCCCCCCCTCCCCCGTCTTCCCTCATCCCCTCTCCCCTCCCCTCACCTTACCCCTCCCCTTTATCCTTCCTCCCTGCTCTTCCCCTCCCCTCCCCTTCCCCTGGTGCTGCTGCAGGTGTATAGAGGAGGACGGTGGGCTGTTAGACCAGGAGGCCCTACCCAGCTTCCCCAAGGGCCTGGACCTGCATAAGGCCAACAGCGGCGAGGAGCCCCCCTTTGATGTTAAAGACATTTTTAACACCGCCTCACTCGAGTCAGAAGCCCTGAAAGAGACTCTGTACAGGCAGGCTAAAACCCAGGTAGGTGGACTCCCGTATAAAAAGAGAGAGGGATGGAGGCATCAAGTGGCAAATCATTTTGAACGTCTGTCCAAAAGCTTGAGTTCGATTGAGTTTGATGATAAGTGGAAATACAAAAAGACAATGAGGAAAATGCATGACAACCAGGCCAAAACACGTTGCTAGGTTAATTCTCGTTGACATGCTCTCCCCTCTCTTAGCTTACCTACTAACTGAGCTATTAACTCTCTCCCTCTTTTCTAAACCGCTAATCTAACTACTGTCCAATCCGCAGCATCACACTGCTCTCTCACCTTTGACCTCTTGCATGCCCAGACATGTTGCAATGGTTAAAGTGGCGCTCCTAATCCGAGACGGAACAGCTCTTGGGTTTTATCGACAATAATGACACTGACGTTTGATTGGCTGACAATTAACGCGGAGACTCACAAAATGGTTTCTGAACAACGGTGGTGTCTCTTTGTCGTTTCTCTGTCTCCTCCAGGCTTATGCAATGATGCTTTCTCTGTCGGAGAACAACCCTTTGCACGCATCCTCCCAGAACTCACTGGATGCCTGGCTGAGCATGGGAGGGGGCCCGGCCGAGACGAGCAGCTTTTACCCACTCAACCACATCTAGGAGAGAGAGGAGGAGGGAGGAAGGCTACTACGGAGGAGAACTCAACATCATGCAGTCCTGGCCTGAGAAGAGAGAGGATTCATGGCTCCTGCCCTTCTGTGTGTTTGTTTGTGTGTACGAGGGGCCCCTCAGACAGACACTCGCAGGCAGAGAGCAAGGCAGCACTGCTCCGCCCCTGTAGAGGGGTGAAGGACATCCCAGGAAGGACCACCCCACTTCATTCCAGCGAAGCCCTCTGGTTGGACTCTCAGAGACAGTCAAGTTTGAGTATGCCACTGTATTACTAGGAGAGCAAAACGTCCATCTATTCTACACAGCCTACCGCAGCAATGTCTCAATAGCTTCATATACAGTGACAGTAGGTCTGGAATATATGCATTGCATGTCCATAAGGGGGCGCTCATCTCACTCGGTGGGAGGAGCAACAGTATCAACACATAATGGGGGTGTACTAGCTCGTTCACCCAAAGAACCCCCCCCCCCCCCCCCCCCCCATCCTCCTCATTATATCAAATGACTTCACTCTCTTCATTCCTGTTTGAAATCAGTAATAGCACAATGCTAAATGTTACAGCAGGAAGCGACACTCTGGCTTTTGTTTATAAAGAATGTACAGGACGTTGATGCATCAAGCTCGATTTTGAATGACAATGATGTCATGGAGAATGACCCACCCCCAACATATAATGTGCATTGCAGAGGACAAAGTCTCGACTTCAAAAGTTATCTGGTGAGCAAAAGGTTTTAAATCGACGTCCATTGGTTAGAGTAGGGGAAAACATATTTTCCCCTCTTTTGCTAATTTGTTAACTTGATTCCATTTTGTGTTTTGCTCTTTGATAAACAGTATTGTCTCTTTTTAGGCACCTCCGTGCTCAAATGTTAATATAAATATATAAATAGTGAAGGACCAAAATTTTATGATATTGTTGTATGATGTACAAAATAACCTGGACGTTCATAGCAAGAGTGGTATGTGCCAAATAGCCCATAGAAAAGATTTTGTTCTCTGACAATCATTTATTTTTCAAGGGGTTTTCATTGCTGTCATAGTTGATGTTATTACCTTCTTTTATATTTGATTTAAAGAGTGTATGTATTCTATTTATTTTGGTTAATTTTTTGGGGTCATGATTGGAGACAAGTGACAAATGAAAATGTCCTTTGTTTTATCTCTCTTTTACTTGTTGCTGAAGGAATGAAATTGAATCGAAATGCAACCGAGATTGTGAATCTCGGTTTCAATGCTTTTTTGTGTAAAGACCAGTGTGCCAAATTGGAAAGAAACCATGCAATCAGATGTTTTTATTTATAGTGACATGGTAGTTCTAGATTGTTTAGAGCAGTGGTTCCCAACCAGGGGTACTAGAACCCCTGGGGGTACTTGGCCTATCCACAGGGGGTACTTGAGAAGACTCATGAGACCATAGGCCTACTGGTAAAATGCACATGAAGGGGTACTTCAGGGGTACTCCGGGCAGAGCAAAATTCAGTTGGTGGTACAATAACTAAAAAAAGGTTGGGAACCACTGGTTTAGATCATGTTTTGCAATGTTGTGTCTATCATGAGGTTTGATTTTTCTCGCTTCAGTTCAACCATTTCAACCAGTATGCTGAGTGTTTTGTGTTCAAGGTGGTTGAATTCTTACTTTGGCCATTTTGGAAATTGCAGCCTTCACTATTATTGTCAGGTGATTTGGATGCCAGGGCATTGTATTGTTAGCCTATAATTGATCCTAAGTTTGAGCAAATCAATTTTATTCTACAACAAATCCCATCAACATGTTAACTCAATCAGTTTATCAGTACTCCGATTCTGCTTCAATGGTTTCATTTTGTAGGAATTCTTATTTTTAAATGTGACCATGTGGTTTTAGAAAAATATATCTCAGAATGCCCCATCATAGATAAAATATGCATTGTTTGTCAGATAGTGTCCAACTACAGTGTACCATTCCATCATATTTCCACTTGTTAGTTGAAGGGTCCGTGCTATCCGGGATCCTTGGGACGTCCCTACCCCATTGAAATTCAAATGGTAAGGGTTAAGGTTAAGGTAGAGGTTAGGGTTTAGGGTATGGACGTCCCAAGGATTCTGGATAGCACTGACCTTACTTGAAGTACCTTTACTCTCAGGGTCAAATGGTTCTGTAAGTAGTGTTGACTGGAGTGTTTTGACAGCTGAGAGGTTTTTAATCCTGAGAAGAGTAAGTTTCTTCCTTGGAGGAATTGAACCACTGGTCATAGCTTGATGGTTCACCCTTACTTTATCTGTGTCTGAGATGTATTTATTGTCTGTAAGGGGTTTTAACACCCAGCATAACACATTTACTGTACTGTGAGACCAGCAAAATAATCACACAATCAAACCAGGAAAGAAATCAAACCAGGAAAGGATCCTGGTTTAGTGAAAATATGACATACATAGGACTTTAAGTTTCAGACTTCCATTCACTTTTTATTCATATTTTTTCAAACATGCTCCTTTGCATAATTCCCTTGTCAACCTAAGGTGATTCCTCCCAATCATCTTCTCATTTAGGGGAACTCATTCCAAACTGTAAACAGAGGTAGAGATGGCACTTAGACGCTGGGGGTTTAATTTCATGTCAATGTAAGTTGCAAGGGTTGGGGGCCCAATGACTATACTTGTGCTCTGTTGCTTTCATGCTGGATATGTGAATTAAGACTTACAGGACTGGGTGAGACAGGTTCAGACCAGGGTCTGGTTTCTCAAAGACATCTTAAGACTAACTTAATCATTAGAATCATTCTAACGATGAACTTAGCCTTAAGATGCCTTTGGGAAACCGGGCCCAGCACTTCAACGCATGGGTCCAAAACAACAAACTGGGCGGGCATGGATCTCTGTCACTAAAGAGTTAATAGCAGTAAACCTGACTGGCCTCACTTGAAGTGGATGATCAACACTCACTTAAAACAATGATGACCTTGGAAAAAACATCAAAATCTAACTGAAGCACTGTAATAATTTGTTTTGTCAGCAGGTGGCAGGGTGATACTAGTTTTGCTGCATTATTTCATATCTGATGATAATAATGACAGAGGTCTCTGTCTTGCTATACTAAATGGGGATCCACGGTTAACACATTGTTTTGCAATATGTTACTATTAAATGCAGAGACTGGGGTTACTAAATATTTAGGTATACTATATATGGAGTAATTCATGTCATGCACTACTGTAATAAGTGCGCACTGTCTGTTGTAGAATTATGGATCCACATTGAAGTAAAATATCACATTGCCAGCTTTTGAAAGGATCTGGCAATATTGGTCACAAACTGGTAACTTCAGAATCCGGTTGCTGTTCTTTCCCCATTGTTACAGGAAAAAGTGTATAGACAGGTTGGTTGTTCAGCAATAAAACCGGTGCGTTCGTAACTATGGGGCGAAACGGGATGGCTTAGATTGTTGACAACATGTGAACTATATGTCGTCTCCAATGTTTATTGAAAACAAATACGTTTGCACAATGAGCACTTGTTGTCTCTCAAATACATCATTACAGTTGTTGGTTAGCTAGCTAACACATTTTTGCCATATCAGCATAGAAGTGACATCAGTCAAAACACCTCAAAACAAGACATGGTATCAAGAACAAGGTAAAACTAGCTGAAACGAGCCACCTACGATTCCCCACATGGCAGCGTCTTGTCATTGTTGCTAGCTAGCTATCTGGCCATCTAGAATCATAACACACAGACTTCTGCCCCATTAAAGTGCTCGCATCGTTTTCATGATGTTTTCAGCTAACCAGTCTATAGTATTTTAATAAACAATGTTGCATTATGTCTGAAAAATTCTATGAAAAAAAATGGGTTTAAATGGATGGTGCTCGTTTCATTTGAATCTGAGTTGTATCACCTCTGTTATGTTTATAAAAAAAGATATTGTGCATGACGTGTTTAGCAGTCATAATGATGTCAATTTGTGAAATGTGTATCTTAAATTTAAAAATGAAATGTAAAAAAAATGAATCCGTAGATGCACTTATTGTACGTGGTTAGGTTAGTAGGTTTGACTTCAAGTCCTTACAGATGTATTGGGCAGGTGGTTCTTAAATGAATACAAAAAAGCTTGTGGCAGAGAGATGTAATTTAAAAAAAATGAAAGGATTGTAGAATAATATTGAACAATTCTGAAATTGCAGTTTTTTATGCTTGTGATTATTGAAGATGTACTTTAGAGAAATTTCATGGAAATATATGATTCTGATGTTAATTCTGTAGAATAGAAATGTATACCAAATGTAATCTTTCCAATGCTATGAAGAATTTATACATGAAATTGATATGCAATAAAACCTGTGTGCTTTTTATATGAAATGTCCCTTGCATTTGTCATGTAGCATGTGGAATAGAGTTCCATATGGTGCGCCTCCCATAGTCTGTTCTGGACTTGGGGACTGTGAAGAGACTTCTGGTGGCATGTCTTGTGGGGTATGCATGGGTGACTGGATGGGAGTTGGAGTGGTCCACGGCTGTCTGGGAGAGGAGAGGAAGAGCTGGGTTCCTATCAAGGGTTCATAGCTCTGTTCAGGGGGGTCTTCGACCATCCACCAGAGGGCAGAGAGGGGGGTGAGCGCATACTCCAACTACGTCAGGATGGCCAGACCACGCTCACCTTTTGGACAGTGGCAGCATCCAGCGGATGGAATGAGCCGGCGTGCCGCACCCTATTCAGAAGAGGATTGCGTGAAGAGGTCCAGACGGAGTTGGCGTGCTGGGACGACAACCTATCCTTGGACGCCCTCATCGCGATGGCCATCCGTCTGGATAGCCTTCTTCGGGATCGTAGGTACCCCCATCGCCTCTCTCCCTCCTCCGTTGATCATTCTGAGTCAGAGCCTGAACCCATGGAGGTGGGGGCCACACGTTTCTCCGCGGCTGAGCGACGCCGTTGTATACAGCTGTGGCTCTGACCTTATTGCGGACAGGAGGGGCACCAGCTTCAACGGTGTCCGGTACGTTCTAACCG